GCGGCGCATTTGTCTTTGTACTGGCATTTATTGTGCCATGGCCTGTCGGTTTTATATCTCTGTTACACATTTGCAGGCATTCAGTCAGAAAATGAAAAAGAGGCCCAAAGTGTTGGCTGCTGCTGCTCCTTATATTCACGAAATAAAGAGAACGTGCATAAAAACCCTTAAATTAAATCGAAGATGATTTTTGGCGACTTGAAAGATGGGACACTGCTGTTGATTTGAAATTAATTTATTCCATTTTTTTCCCTCCACCAACTGGAAAAAGCATGCCTACCTTCACCTCTGCAGGTGTTCTGTGAGCCGTGCCAATTATATTTTAGTTGCATGTATGGTAATGAGTCAAGCCATCCGCACTGCCACTCACAACTGTACTGCTTTCCTTAGGAGACAAGGTGGGCAGAAAGATCTGGCTGTATCTTGGATGTTCTAGTCACGGGGTGAAAAAAAGCGTCTGTTTGTTTTGTTGATTGTATATTTGTGCTTGTGTGGGAGTTTGTGTGCTTATAGGTTTGCTTGTGTTTGTTTTAGCTTGTGTTCGCATCCAGGTTTGTGTGTCTGTTCCTGGCAGCTGTTTTTTTAGCTGTGTCACACTGTTCCTACTGTAATAATTGGTATGCTAATCGCTCCTGACTCTGATAAGGGACATTTTCCATTTCCTTTCTTCAGCAGTCAGTGGTGGGTGCACTGTAACCCTGCTGCACTGAGCTCTGTGGCTCTGGCCACCTGCTTTCTTACTGAAAAACAATTTAGAGCTCAGATTGTAGAACTGCATTAAGGAAACCAGCTGATAAGCTCTGAATCACACCAGATAGAAAGATAAAACACCTACTGAGGATAAAAATATGTGTATGGCTCAAAATATTTGTATTGTACAATGTGATCTTAAAAAGGTGCATCATTATATTAATGAATAGACACTAGAATTCAACTGAAAAAATAATTGACTCCAAAAGTGTGCAATTTATTGTTTATATCAGTATTTTTTAATGCAAGAATGCATTAAATGGATCTCTAAAACATGTATGTTACATTTTTTTAGGGGCCAAGCACTGTATCGCTATTGTATCGCTTCTGGTTCTGATCACACTGTCTGATCTTCAACAAATTTGGACTCTCTAACTCAAACTCTGTAGCGCCACAACTTATCCAGAGTTTCACTTTTGTTTATCTTTATAACTTTTGAACCAAATGGGGTACAAAATTCTGGACCTGACATTGACCTAACTACCTCAGTTTGCACCACCTTCTGGGTAAAATTGACAAACAATTCAATTTTATCAATAGGAATCATACATAATTTCTCAAATAACTTTTGAATTGTTTTGTCTATTGTAATGGAACTGGTCTTGCAGAATCCAGGGTGTCTGCAGGGTCTTAAAAAGTATTGAAAGTGAATAAACCAATTAGGAGAAAATTAAAACCCTTAAAAGGGATTAAACCATCTTAATCACATTTTTACAAGGTCTTAAATTTTGTTCAAGCATTGTCCAAAGTGTTTATGCAAAGAAGCATGAATATATTTATATTCGTCCTAATATTAACAACGGTGTGCTTGATGCATGCGATTGGTTCGGGCCAGGGTGTGTCAGCCTAGCTTCTCTGTCCAGGTGATGTGACGTAATTTTTCGACAAACACGAGAAGGTGATTTGACGCTCATCACATGTAGCGAAACCATAGAGCGTAACAGATGGTAAAATGGGAAAATTTAAGTTTGCAAACTCCTGGTTGGAGAAAGACGAGTTTAAACAGTAGCTGAATCCTGTCGCTGAAAACAACCGCAGAATTTATTCTTTCAAGCTTTGTTTCTTCTGAGCTTATCCGAGTTCTGTTGCATGGTTGTGCTCTGTTTATTTATTTAACTACAACTATTGATTAACAACTGTTTATTAAGTTAAAGGTCTGATACTGATTAGAACTTGCGATGAGGTTTTAAAATAGTCAGAGAAGATCTTTAAAAAGGTATTGAAATTACTTTTAGGATACCTGCATGTACCCTAGATTCCTTGTATCGTACAGAGAACATTGATGTAACTTATTCCCTAATTGAGTCGCCATCCTGTCCATCATCTCGAATTAGTTTGAAAATCTGTTGTTTTGAACTCTGCATAGATCATCAGCCCAATTTCCACTTAATTTGGCTCAGACCATTCTACCAAAAAGCTAAAGAATTTTCCAGTTGCTCTGTAGCTTGTTAATAATGTGGCCACTGGGCCGCTTGGTCCTGATAAATGCTGCTTGCAGCTTTATTTTCAAATATATGTTGTTCTTTTGGACAGTGTGTTTATTAAAGAATCCTGAAAACAAATGTGCCACAGTTTACATAAATATTAAGTGGTTAATAGATAGATGATTGGACTAATGGCTGCTTGCAGTGGCAGACTGACTGAAAGTTTGTTTTCACCGAGAGGATTTCTGCCTAATTGGGTAGAAGAAATAAAAACACCGTTACAGTGCATGTCGTTGATTGTTGTTCGAAGATATTATCCAAACAAATATTCCCCTTATAGTCAGTTCAACCATACAATTGGACCTTAAATGGTACACTATAAACAGCTGTGATATACCAGCTGTTTTGCGGCTCAAAATGTGCTTTATGTAAATGTCCCCTAATAAGCATCTTAAGATGCTAGATGGACTAGTTGTTGATCCAGCTGAACATACTGCATTATTATTATTATTATGAATTTTCTCACATCTCTAGGATTCATCCACAGAAATTGCAGCTGCGCGGTGCAGACATATGAGCTTCACACCTTTCTCTTGTTCCATTCACACGTCGGAGGAGCTATCATGGCTTCAGAAGAGTTCACGGAGCTCCAAGCTCTTTCGCCAGGGCTGGAGTTTCAAAAGAAATCTGTCAGGTGTTCATTTTTTTTTTCCGGAGATGAGAGATGCTGTGTTCACCGCATCTGGCTCTTATTCATTCTGCTGGCACACGTCTGTCCTGATCTCCAGCGCTTTCACTTTGAACAGCCTCCATCAATCCTTTTACGTTTGCTTGACAGCTGGATTTAGTGCCAGGATGAGGAGGTGGTGCTGGAGGTGCTGCTTTGGCTGTCTTGCGTAATGGCGAATGTTTTGAAAACTGTAAAACCTAGAGGTATTATGGCTTGACAGCTCCCAATGAGAATCCTATATTTAAATATGGCATATAGAATGGAGGATTGGAGAACAGCGCTCATTAAGTGTGAAGTTCACAGTCATGATGTGTCAACTTTTAGCCTTTGAGACCAGTTAAACGCCTGTCAGGGGAAACAAGTACACTAATTAAGTTGATTCACACCTTTTGTGAAAAGAAAATATGATGGGTTTGTGCCCATTCAAAACCTGTCGGACCAATGCAATGGGCCATGCCAAGCTGTTGCAGTGGAGTGTTATTAGGTTATTCTAGGGGTACTTTTGTCTAAGTTTTATTTTCTTGCTATGTCAAACTGACATTAATTCTCAATAGGATTTCTATTTAAAGCTTGATTATGAAAATAGTTCAATATCAGTGCCATTTCACATGAAGCACTGCAAATGATGCAATGAGTCCTCCTATGCTTTCAACATTCTGTCTGTGTTCACACTAAACACACTAGAAACAATGTTTTATAAGTTCTACATACAGACCCATTACATTATTTATAGTTGTTAAAGGTAGGCGAACATTTCTATGGACAAAAATAAGGGATGCACAGAAGGGCATTTTTAACGTTGTTGAATTTTGGGCTGAAGGAGTAAAATGGCTGAAAATATGAGTCAAAAAACGCTATGCTATCCAACAGTGTTCAGCGCAGTTTAAAGTAGCTTTCACACCAGATGCAGAAAGTGCTTCACTGTGCTATAAAACCCATTCATTTCAATGGCTTGTGTTGCACAAGTACACTCTCCAATAGCGCTTCTTTGCTGTCATAGCTGGTAAAATGATGCCTCTATGGTTGTTTAGTGGTTATTTCATTAGTTTTTTATGTAATAAAAATTATTAAGTTAAATTGAAAAAGTCTTACTAAATCACATTATAGTATTTAATAAAATGATAAAAGAGTAATGAAAAAGATTTTCAGTTTTAGCTTTTGGCCAAGTGCATCCATAGTTTCAGTCTAGAAATTTCCTTTTGGTGCATCCCTAATAACAAATTAACAAATAGCACTCGTGTGATATCAGTAGCAGTTGTATTTTACATATAGCCACAATACTTTATTTATAGTTTTAACGGTAGGTAAACATGTCTATAGACACAAATAAGGGATGCATAGAATGATATTTTCAATTTTGTTTAGTTTTTGCCTGAAAGAGAAAAATGACTGAAAATATGAGTCAAAAAACGCTATGCTATCCAGCAGTATTCAGCGCCGTGTGAAGTGGCTCTCAGACTGGATGCAGAAAGTGCTTCGCTGCACTATAAAACCTATTCATTTCAATGACTTGTTGCACAAGGGCAGTTAACCCTAGTCACAAATAAACAACTAGCACACATAACACAAATAGCACTCCTGTCATATCAGTAACAGTTGGATTCTGAAGTTTCGCACTTAGTGCACTTAAGTCGTCTCTTACCTCAGCAAAACAGACTGCAGAAGGTTAAAGTAAATAATTTCTGTCAGCAATATCAGCTCTGTGACGTTACCTTCCAAGCACAGGCCGATGAAGTGTCAGGGCTTTGGGTCGTTCCACTGATATGTGAGGCGATCAAGGCGACTGGAGCCTCTCAGACTCCATTGCGTTTTCAATCAGCCCTGTCTCTTTTTTTTCTTCAGCAGAATAACCTTTGTGCCATGAGAAAGTCTGTTATTGGGAATGGACTGTATTCTGTTGCTTTGCAGCCCCTCTGTAATGTCCCCCAGAGGATAGGAATGTCACAGAGTTTTTTAAAGGTTAAGTGTACTGATTTTTATTTATTTTTTAAAAGGGGACAGATAAGTATCCCTCAACCTCAGCTTCGACTGGCTTTAAATATCACCTCTCATACAACATAATAATGTGAAGCAATACTCTTAAATGGCAGTCCTACCTCAGCTGTCTCTTCTCCCAGGCCCAATTAAGTAATTTCCATCCCTGTGTCCAACTTTTGGCAGGAAGTGACGGCCTCCAGCTGGTCTTCAATCCCGTTGCAGTTTTGAATAGCCAATAGAAACAGTCTGTTCTACTATTATGATGTTCGTCAAACCTAGAGAGAAATCACAGCCAATTTAGCCAGTATCTATTCACCCTATAAACAGGCGTTCGTGCACACAAACAAGCAGTGTTGATTCAGAACAGAAGCCTTCATTAGCCTCATTACATGCTAGGGTAGCTTTGCTTTTGCCTGTGTCAGCGGCTCAGCGTGTGTCCTCGAGCGCTGCTGTGTGTGTGCGTGTAGCTCATTTCCCCAAATTCATGTAGTGACCCAGAGCTCGGTCTTCTGGCTTGCTTAATCTTGCAGTGTCAGCGCTGTTATTCGACAGGTTGTGTTACGGGATGCGTGTCTTCTGATTGGTTAAGCTGCCTGCAGGGTGTCATCATCTGCTTCCGTATGGCTGGGTAGTAAAGCTGGAACCTGCGCAGAGCGTCATGCAACCCCAAATAGCACAACAAACCCAAACAGCCGGTGTGAATAAAGTCAGTTTTTTCAGGACGTTTAATAGAAACATTGGCAACACATCAAACGGTGCATCTGGAGAACACTTGTCTTAGAACAAATGCAGCAATCGTTGTTCACGTTTACCATATATATTTATCAAAGGCTGTATGAATTGTGGAAAAATATTAGGTAACACTTTAGTTTAAGTACCAATTATTATTATTATTATTAACTAGTAGCTTGTTACCTTCCTATGATTATAATTTTGACTGTTTATTAGTGGTTTTAAAGTACATATTCTGCACGATTGTATTCCATATTTCATATCCTACCTAATGCCTAAAATAACTGCTACATTAATAACTATTTAGGGGCACCTGTTTGGACAGAACTGTGTAGGTGTAGTGTGTCCACTGTCATACTAGGGTGATATAAACACAATAAGTCCCTTTTTAATTTTCTTACATTAAAATAGGATCCAAATCCCTCACATTTTAAGGCCCACCGCAACGTGACATAGGAGTGCGGTTTCCCCGCCCACAGAATTGATTGACAGCCACATATTAACATATCTCTGTAGTAACACATATAATAATGTCAACAAGACAGGACATGCACAAAGCAACTGGGATTAAAAGATCTGTTCAGCGCTCTGTGATTATCAATCATCATCAAATGTGATTAAGAATGAGTTTAAAACGATTAACAGTGCATGTTTGTCATGAATTACAGCAATTTTACCGTCTTTATCACCACAGCCGCGTCAGCATAATTATAAAAGACGCTTCAACCCTGTTTGTGGACATTAAATCAGGTAATTTTGTACATCAACATAACAGATATCCATACAGTGTGTGTATGTGTGTGTATGCGCGTAAACTTTGTAACGACATTGTGCGTGACTCATCGAAAGGCTTGAATTATCTCCACATCAAATACATTGAATACTCATTGGGAAAGTTTTTACTGTATTTCTCACAACTGTTACATGAGATCTGCTTCCTTCATGTCTGTCACTGTGCTGTTTATCTGACACAGCCGAGGCAGAGATGGTGGCACACTCTTGACAGAAATGTGGGAACGTGGACGGGACAAGCTACCATTAAAGGCCACAAAAACAGCTAAACATTATTCAAAGCAGAAAACCTCAATGTTCTAAAAGGTATAATAAATAATCTGATGGGTGTTTTGAGCTGAAAATTCACAGACACATTCTGGAGACACAAAAGACTTAGATTAAATCTTGAAAAAGAGGTAAAATAGGTGCCGTTTAATAAGAATTAGGAAAGTCATATTAAAAATTGCCAGAATTGTGCTTTAAAATAAATGTGACAATGTTAATATTGTAATTTTACTATAAAATAAAAACATAGAGAATATATTACTACTATTATAATGATAGTAATAATGTTCTGACTGTATTTGTCTGCACTACTTATTCCCAAAACATTATTTACAATGCACATCAATATAGAAAATACATAATTTAATAATAATAATAATACTATTTTATTACTACTAGTTGTAGTAATAATAATAAATAATAATAATAATAATAATTCTAATAATTTTCCTATACAATTGTGATTTTTAATGCTAATATTCATGGATGTTTAATTTCTTAATGTAAAAAAAACCCTGCAGGCATCATGTAAAGCCTCTCTGCTGTTGCTGCTGTTCTAACCATTCCCTTTACACGTTTTGGAAGATGTTAGCATGCTGTGTTCCCAAAACCACGCAGTCAATCACTCAAACTCGCTGCATTTGTATCGATTCACCTCAAACCTGTTAACAGTTGCCTCGATTCAGTGGTCACCCACTGCACTGAGAAGAGCTGAGAAGTAATCAAACCCTCCAGCAAACTCTGGCCTCCACAAATCCCTTTATTTCTACAGTCTGTGTGGGCTTTACTTTGGAGAAACAGTCTTGATGGAGGTTTGGTCCTGTGGGGAGAAGCACAACATTGGAAAGCAGTGGGCAACAACAGGGCTGTTGTTCATTTCGGTTAGGAAGTGAAGGGGCGAGAGGAAGCTCAGGCAGAGCTGTAGGTGTATGTTCTCTGTCATTCTCAATCTTCTCTGCTGCTTAGGATTCCTCCCGTGAACAAACACCTCGTTCCTCTTGCCCAGCGAACAGGTCTCCCCGTTGACTGCCATCTCTGCTTTGATTTCTAACTCGGGAGCGCTGACGTTGTGAGCTGATGTTATAGCGTGCTGCTCTAAGATAATGCACTTGTGGCGCCCGCTGCTCTCTATCGCACACATTTTAGTTTGCAGAGAACATCAAAGAGCCCAGAGTTAATAAATGATGTGTTCAGGAACTTTAAATATTTGCGAAGTGCAAATTTAAAGCAGCAGTTCACAGGAAAGTGAAAACTCATCATGGGAGTTCCCTGTGTCGCTGCTTCAGAAATCTAAAAAATCATATTTTACTTCTGCTTTTGCAGTCTGTATTGAATGAGAAGCTGTAAATGAAGGATTTTACCATGAAGGAGATTTTTTTTTTGTTATTTAAGAATCATTCAGCTTGTAGTTTGAGGAAAAAATAATAAATTAGTGACTAAATCACCCGTTAGATGTAGCTAATGGACTGGAAGTTGTTAATTTTTAAGCATTTTTCTATATTGCACTGTTTTCAACAGGACCAGGTCGATTCCTGATCAAAAGACTCTCATAATGAATAATTTTTAATAAATACAGTAGTTTATACAATAGTTTGAATCAGCAATTCTTGAATTATACCAAATCCATTACATAAATAATTACTGAATCAGCACCTAATAAACGTAGTTGCCATGATTTTTAGCTTTTTCTACACACACATTGTTTTTAACAATGATTAATATGTGATTATTTGAACTATCGTTCAGTAGGACCAGTGTAATTTGATTCATAATCAAACGACTCTTATAATAAATCATTTTTTAATGAATGTGGTAGTTTACACAATAGTTTGAATCAGCTTGAATTCTTAATTGAACCAAATCCATTAAATTAATTGCTGAATCAGCACTCACTAAACTAAGTTGCCATGACTTTTAGTTTTTTCTACACACATATTGTTTTTAACATTGATTAATATGTCATTCTTTAATCTATCTTTCAGTAGGACTAGTGTAATCTAATTCATGATCAAGTCACTCTCATAATGAATCATTTTTAAATAACACGGTAGTTTATACAATAGTTTGAATCAGCAATTCTTGAATTGAACCAAATCCATTACATTAATTTCTGAATCAGCACTCACTGAACCTAGTTGCCATGATTTTTAGCTTTTTCTATACACACATTGTTTTAAACTTTGATTAAAATGTGATTCTTTAACCTATCGTTCAGTAGGACCAGTGTAATCTGATTTATAATCAAATGAGCCATTTGTTTTAATTAATAGTTTAAGTCAGTCTTCATGAATCCTTTATTGAACTGAATGCATTATCATTCACAGGATCAACATCTGATTCGCTGACTAAAATTAAACTTATAAACGATTGACCTGGATTTTACTGACATGTTAACAAAGATATGAGTTCTGTAAGTGAATTTGAAACGTATACAGTAACTACTCTGATTGATTAAGGTAATTTAGTGAAAGATTAATTTAATTGACTCAGTTCAAGGGGGATGAGTCTTGATTCAATTTACATTCAATTTTTTTGCTACTGTGAACTGTTCTTTTAAATATTCACAATAGAAATGAGAAGCGTTTCATTATCTCTGTTGGAGATAAGTGTGATTTACTTTTTAGAAACACAGTTTACACATCTACATTTTCACACACTGACTTTTTAAACACACACACAGAACTGTAATATCCTTAAAAACCCTGTGTAACCATGGCTGGCAGCAGTTTTCATCTTTTTAAAACGCCGCACTGCTCTTTTGCTTTATGAAGGTCAAAGAGTCGTTTTCATTAGCTTCATTCATTTGGCTTCTTGTGAATTTCTAACTTGTCTTGCAGTTTGAGTTTTAGCTTTTTAAATGGATTGGCCTCTCAAACACTTCACACAGCCAATTACCCAGTGCAGTGGCCTTCAGTGGGAGCTGGAGCACCTCTCACCTGCTCTGCAGATAAGCTTCAGAGACCAGCGCTCAACACACTGGGCTGAAGTGAAAGGTAGAGTAAGCCACTTATCCACAGGAGGGAAGCTGCCGAGGGCTTGTCTGCTTGAGATGGTTGGCCACACTGTGGGAAAGCTCATCGAATGAGATTCTGTCTCGCACGAACAGTCATTCGTTTTTATTTTTCCCAGGGGTCCCACTCTCTTTCTGTCTTTGAGTTTACCAAATAGCAAAACATGCAACCCATGCACATTTTTGCTCTTTAAAATGTGATGCCATTTTTTCCCCCAGTGATGCTCAGATAATGGCCATTCAAACTGAGGAGGGAAATAAGATGCAGGTGGATTTTAAATGCAACTTTACAATACATAAAGATATTTCATGTTTTACATAGCTGAATAAATAAAAATAAATTAAATTAAATCAAAATGTTAACATAGAATTGATCTAGGTGCAGGACTGTCTCCTAGGGATGCTCCGGTCAGGATTTTTACAGCTGATACTGAGTACCAATTCTTTGTCATGGTGATCGGCCAATACCTAATACCGTTCCTGATGCTTCAAGCTTTATGATGCACTATGTACATTTAGGTTTGATACTTACGTGGAGATCTCGCCTTACCTAAGAGAATTAATAAAGGATGCGGCATATAATACCTTAAACACATCTCTTATAACAATATAGTGTGAACATGTTATGGCCAGAAGCAGCTTTACAGAAAATAATGTAACACAGATAAAAAAAAATTGGTGAGAAAAATTACAAACAATGTGATTTGGAAACACTGCAAATGATGAAGGAAGAATTCAACATGTCTCAAGCAAGAAAACATATGCAGGGCATATTTGATGCATAAATCTAATACTTCTTTACTAAAAGGAAATAGGCCTATCCGCTTGTTAAGTGTGACGTCACGCGAAGCGGCCTCCGGGTCCA